TGGGTAAAGTTTGTGTTGGTAGTGTGGGTAATGTTTGTGTTGGTAGTGTGGTAATGTTTGTGTTGGTGTGGGTAATGTTTGTGTTGGTAGTGTGGGTAATGTTTGTGTTGGTAGTGTGGGTAATGTTTGTGTTGGTAGTGTGGGTAATGTTTGTGTTGGTAGTGTGGTAATGTTTGTGTTGGTAGTGTGGGTAATGTTTGTGTTGGAGTGTGGGTAATGTTTGGTGGTAGTGTGTAATGTTTGTGTTGGTAGTGTGGGTAATGTTTGTGTTGGTATGTGGGTAATGTTTGTGTTGGTAGTGTGGTAATGTTTGTGTTGGTAGTGTGGGTAATGTTTGTGTTGGTAGTGTGGGTAATGTTTTGTGTTGTGGGTAGTTGTGGTAATGTGGTATGTTGTTGGTAGTGTGGGTAATGTTTGTGTTGGTAGTGTGGGTAATGTTTGTGTTGGTAGTGTGGGTAATGTTTGTGTGTATGGTTAGTGTGGGGTAATGTTTGTGTTGGTAGTGTGGGTAATGTTTGTGTTGGTAGTGTGGGTAATGTTTGTGTTGTAGTTGGGTAATGTTTGTGTTGGTAGTGTGGGTAATGTTTGTGTTGGTAGTGTGGGTAAATGTTGTGTTGGTAGTGTGGGTAATGTTTGTGTTGGTAGTGTGGGTAATGTTTGTGTTGGTAGTGTGGGTAATGTTTGTGTTGGTAGTGTGGGTAATGTTTGTGTTGGTAGTGTGGGTAATGTTTGTGTTGGTAGTGTGGGTAATGTTTGTGTTGGTAGTGTGGGTAATGTTTGTGTTGGTAGTGTGGGTAATGTTTGTGTTGGTAGTGTGGGTAATGTTTGTGTTGGTAGTGTGGGTAATGTTTGTGTTGGTAGTGTGGGTAATGTTTGTGTTGATAGTGTGGGTAATGTTTGTGTTGGTAGTGTGGGTAATGTTTGTGTTGGTAGTGTGGGTAATGTTTGTGTTGGTAGTGTGGTAATGTTTGTGTTGGTAGTGTGGGTAGTGTTTGTGTTGGTAGTGTGGGTAATGTTTGTGTTGATAGTGGGGGTAATGTTTGTGTTGGTAGTGAGGGTAATGTTTGTGTTGGTAGTGTGGGTAGTGTTTGTGTTGGTAGTGTGGGTAGTGTTTGTGTTGGTAGTGTGGGTAATGTTTGTGTTGGTAGTGTGGGTAGTGTTTGTGTTGGTAGTGTGGGTAGTGTTTGGGATGGTGATGTGGGTAGTTTTTTTGGATCAGATACCCAGTTGTTGGCGCTTTACCTGTTAATGATTTATGAAATATACAGATAGGGCAGAAAGCGACGTGTCATTTACACTACTATAACTGTGACAGTTAGTTTATTTGTTTCCTTTAATTTCAAATTCTGTTTCTCCCAGTTTTGTATTAAATCAAGGTTGCTAATTTCGTCAAGACTTGTTGTTAGTTTTGTGCTGTTATCGGTACGTCAAGCTCTTATCTTTATATTTATCCTTTTATTTTTTTCTGATTTCTCCTGTTTATTTTTCTCCTTCTTTCTCTCTGTAACCATAAGTAGTTAGTAAGGTTAGATTTGGTGAGAGAGAGAGAGAGAGAGAGAGAGAGAGTGTGTGTAATCCCTGTTGGGTTTTATATTTCGCGTCAGGCCACCATTATATTTCGCGCCGTGCTAGTGCTGCAAACTATCCCAGAAGAGAGAGAAAGAGAGAGAGAGAGAGAGAGAGAGAGAGAGAGAGAGAGAGAGAGAGAGAGAGAGAGAGAGGTGGGAGAAGAGTTTGAGGTAGAGAGCTTTCAGACACATCAGCAGGAAGTATACAACAGGAGCCGTTCTCAGCCTCATCTCAAGGTCCTCCTGCAATACTCGTCACAAGCGCTTTGTCGCTTTCATTTGTGACGGTCGTGTCCAAGAGCATGCTGGTGAGATAGACAGCAAGAGGTTGTGAAGGTCGTATACATGAGCATGCTGGTGCGATAGACAGCAAGAGGCTGTGAGGGTCGTATACAAGAACATGCTGGCGAGATAGACAGCAAGAGGCTGTGAGGGTCGTATACAAGAACATGCTGGCGAGATAGACAGCAAGAGGCTGTGAGGGTCGTATACAAGAACATGCTGGTGAGATAGACAGCAAGAGGCTGTGAGGGTCGTATACAAGAACATGCTGGCGAGATAGACAGCAAGAGGCTGTGAGGGTCGTATACAAGAACATGCTGGTGAGATAGACAGCAAGAGGCTGTGAGGGTCGTATACAAGAATATGCTGGTGAGATAGACAGCAAGAGACTGTGAGGGTCGTATACAAGAACATGCTGGTGAGATAGACAGCAAGAGACTGTGAGGGTCGTATACAAGAACATGCTGGCGAGATAGACAGCAAGAGGCTGTGAGGGTCGTATACAAGAACATGCTGGTGAGATAGACAGCAAGAGGCTGTGAGGGTCGTATACAAGAACATGCTGGTGAGATAGACAGCAAGAGACTGTGAGGGTCGTATACAAGAACATGCTGGTGAGATAGACAGCAAGAGGCTGTGAGGGTCGTATACAAGAACATGCTGGTGTGATACACAGCTGCTCTAAATGCCTTGGCTGACCACCACGGTAGACTTGTCTTACTTTGCAAACACTGACACATACACGTCATAATACATACTGTGATAAACTGATTAAGCAAGAATATTTCCCTGGCAGGGCCGATTTATTTCAACCTTTCGTTAGTATAATTGTACGTTGTCAGGAAAAAATTATTCTCTCCCTCTCACACTTCCCCCTCTCATCTCCCCCCACCACCCCCGGCCGAAAAAATATATATAGCGGATCCCGTCCGTTTTACAAGAATTTTTTTTACAACCGGGAACGGTAGTGATATATAAGAAAAGAATGTGTCATATGTATAGGGAGATATACATCTACACAATTCAAATTAACGAGGCGGGGATAATTGGATGAGCAGTTAGCGAGTTTTAATGTGAGTAGGAGAGTGTTAGCTGAGGGAAGACTAGCCAGAGAGGGCCTTACATTTTAAGTTATTGTCCCATAAGACTAAGGATGGGAGGGAACTTAAATAGCATGAATTTAGAGATGGTAAATCCTGTTTTATAAACCTGTTGGAGATTTTTGACAGAATAATAGAAATAAAGCAAGAAAGAGAGGACTGATTTACCTCACAAGTGACTGAGTCAAAAATAAGAATAACAGGCATGAGTAGTAGGAATTGCATTGCAATGGAGGTATCAGGATGGAAAAGTATTAGTGCCATTCCACAAGGATCAGCCTCTGTACTGGACCTGGGACTGTTGTAATATAGGTGAACAATATGCTAGAGTCCTGTGTATCCGTTTGCAAATGATGTGAAAGTAATGATTAGAATAAAAACTTGGAATGACTGGGAAAATTTACAATATCACCTGGATGATCGTCAGGTCGGTCAGGCAAGTGGCTGTTTCTATTCAACCCAAACAAATGGAAGGTGATGACAGTTATAAAAACGGAAAGACCGAAATGGAGTACAGACTGGGTAGACAAAAGATGCAAACCTTACACATACAGAAGGACCCACTAGTGGGTATAGTATCGTGCATATCACTTACGTGCATATCAACATAATAACCTTCCAGACAAATAAGAAACGAGAAGCTTAAAATACTAGCGTTCAGGATTCTCAACAGAGTTCCTCATAGCCATTTATAAGGCATGCGTTTGGCTCATCATAGAGTATGTAGCACCAGCATGGAATATTGTACTAACAAGGTATGTCTAAAACAATTAGAAAATGGAGAAGTTTGCGACGCGACTAGTCGTTGGGCTACGGGGAATTAACTATGACAATAGACTAAAATAAATGAACTTGATGACATTAGAAGATAGAAGACTCAGATGAAGCGTGATTACGACTTGACGAACATTGTAGATTTCAGAAGGAGAGTCTGTTACAAAGGTGTGAATACTGGGGTATAAATGGCTTCAAAATGTATCCGAATATAAGCAACTACAAGCACGTCAAGGAATGGGTATGCCAAGCGACCCGAGGGTGAGCGGGCCTAGCGACCCGAGGGTGGGCGGGCCTAGCGACCCGAGGGTGGGCGGGCCTAGCGACCCGAGGGTGGGCGGGCCTAGCGACCCGAGGGTGGGCGGGCCTAGCGACCCGGAGGTCCAGTGCAGGTCTGTTCCTCTATTTATTCACTGGCAGGCAAGCGTTCATTACGACTTATCTTGAATTAATTATAAATCATGTTTCACGAAGCTATACATCGGCTGGTGAGTCATTCAGATCACGGGTGATGGGAGGGTCAGTACTCAGTACACCGAACACACCTCGATCTCTCACCGTCCAGGCTGCCAAAGAGAATTGTAAGATAAGAAAGACCGAAAACTCTGGCAATGATCTCTTTCGATGAGAGAAGAAAAAGACTGGAGACGGCGAGGCAGACAAGAAACATTATTAGTATCATTAACAAGAAGAACAGAATGTGATGGAAGAGTTTATCAAAGTAACAAAATGTATCAATACTGTACTTCCTATAGTGTGCGATATCTCTGAGTTGAAACACTATCACGACAACGTATCAGAACAATACATCTATGTATCAGCACAATGTATCAGTGTATCAGCACAATGTATCAGTGTATCAGCACAATGTATCAGTGTATCAGCACAATGTATCAGTGTATCAGCACAATGTATCAGTGTATCAGCACAATGTATCAGTGTATCAACACAGTTTAATAATGCATCAGCATAATGTATCAATGTATCAGCACAGTTTATCAATGCATCAGCATAACTTATCAATGAATCAACACAATGTATCGATGAATTAGCACAACGTATCAATATATCACCACATATCCTTGTATCAACACAATGTATCAACACTTTGCATGGACGCCATCAACAACATGGTATGTTACATCACAACACGTCACAAATGTTCACCTTCATCAGTCATATCATTTCTCCTGACAAACCCAAAGAAAGAAGCAGTTGCAAGGTAAAGTAGAGCATCGCTTTGCAGTGTATGCCACAGATATTACCTGCAATTTACCTGTAGACGTTTTAAGGAGTCACTGCCCGCTGGGCCCAGCTCTAGACCGGGACTCCTAACTGACGGCATAATTATTCAGGCTGTTGTTGGCCGCACCCAGTCGAACGTAAGCAACACAACCCGAGTGATCAGGAATTAACTTGAGAAACTTATTAAGGTGTTGAAGAGTCTTGTTCCCTTTACGCTTATTGAGTTAAGAACATACAAGAACACCTCTGGTGGTAAATCATAGCTCCTGCTGTGGTAACACAGTTTCTATGCTGTGGTAATCCACAGTTCCTTTGCCGTTGGTAGACTGAATTTAGTATGAGGATAATGTAACATAAAAGGCTCAATTTTCCTCATAAATTATCATACCTGAAGAAAGAGTTTGAGTGGTGTAGTCAGAGCTCTCCCGCGGAGTGTGCTAAATGCATCTATTAAATGTTTTAACCATAGATACACTGTTATTATTTTAGTCGTGAGTACATTAGGCTTCTTGTTAAGTAAAAGGATACAAGAGCAACTAAGGCAACATTTTACTGTGGCAACGTTTCGCTCTCCAGGAGCCTCGTCAAGCCATTATGTAAAGTTGAAAATTGAGACGCTTATGCAGCATATAGGAATCTTTATTCAGGAAACGTTTCGCCACACAGTGGCTTCATCAGTCCAAAACAAAGAGGAAGGCGTAAGGAGAGGAGGAGTATGAGGTAATCAGTCCCTCGGCCTGGAGTCGATGTGTTCAGCCCATCAATCTTGCAGAATGTACAGCATAGGGCCGTAGATGTGGCTTATATACTGTAGTGAGGTGAGGTGAAGCAGGCGGAGGCGGGGTCATAGTGGAACCATCCACTAGTCGAAGTAGGTCTTCGTCCGAAGGTTGAACAAGTGTTGAAGAATTCTTTGTAACAAGATCCCATGATGCTGCAGTGTCTGACAGTTGTGATGAATGGTTTGAAAAACCGACAAATTGTATGTTCAACAAGGGGACACAGTTGGAAACTGAAGACACAGATGAATCACAGGGATGTTAGGAAGTATTTCTTCAGCCACAGAGTAGTCAGGAAGTGGAATAGTTTGGGAAGCGATGTAGTGGAGGCAGGATCCATACATAGCTTTAAGCAGAGGTACGATAAAGCTCACGATTCAGGGAGAGTGACCTAGTAGCGACCAGTGAAGAGGCGGGGCCAGGAGCTTGGACTCGACCCCCGCAGCCTCAACTAGGTGAGTACACACACACACACACACACACACACACACACACACACACACACACACACACACACACACACACACACACACACACACACACACACACACACACAACACGTTCATAACATTACACAGATAACATATATTAAAGCAAAAGTTAGAAATAATCTCTTTTTCGTGACTTAAATTTATAATTTTATTTTAAATAATGCTTTATATATATTAATACATATTTTCGAGATGATACATTAACTGTTCTTTCACTTAAAATATTATAATCTGTTTAATTTTCTTCATATTTGAAAGAAAATAAATTCGTTGTGTGAGAAATCGCACATGACGTTGTTGAAATAAAGAATATAAACAAAACATAGAAGTTTATTAACAAGGATTAGGCGACGCACTTATGTACCCGGGTGCTGCTAACTGTACCTGCACACTGACTAGGTCAAGCACTGCAGGATAGCATAAATATACAGTTACCTACCCTGGTGCTTCCACCTGAGCCTCCATCACTATGTTCCTGTTTACCTTACATCACTGGCTTAGCGAGAGTGGTGTAAACACTGGCAACACCCCCCCCCACTCTTCATATACCTAAACTTACTCCCAGTTCAGTACATCCACACTTACTACTGTGCAATCTACATCTACAGGGCCTTAAACACTAATATCAACCTTGACCTAAAACGCTTTCTTGATAGTTGTGACAGAACCCACAGGCATAACACCAGACACAAACATCTCTACGACATTCCCCGTGTCCGACTAAACCTTTACAAAAATTCAATGTATGTCAAAGGCCCTAAAATCTGGAATACCCTAACCTGATAACTCTAGAACTGCAGACACATTCATCACCTCAAACAAGCCATAAGAAAAACATCTTTATCTCCCTGTTGATACACCCCTTCAACTAACTACGACGAATACCACCTGGGTGGTTTCACACTTACGCACTCACACACTCATTTGACCATAAACAGAAATATCATTGCTCCAATCTTAAAATAAAAAAAGCCTGTGATACTCCCAAAACTGCAACTAATAATGTCAAAACAAAAGCATTCACATTTCTAAACTCACAAACTATATTTAGTCACTTAGTAGCCATAATACCAACTTACCTCATTTTGTAATATTTTGACAATTAAAAAAAAACTAAGGTTCTGCCCGAAATGCCTACCAAGCTAATGTTCTAGTGGGTACACTCTGAATCAAGTTTTACTACCTGACAACCACACAATAACCAAATATTTCCTTTTCTGTAAACTCAACATTGTAATCCATATAGAGAAGAAAAGATAAACTTTTGAATTTGAATTTGAATAACTGATTCTTTCCCCCCTACGTGCAACACAGTCCAACTTAACCGGGTAGGTTCTGTTTCAGCGCCTCCGGTTTAAAGGAAGTCAAGCGCAGAATAAGCTGCTATTTTAAAGAAGAATCATTATAGCCGGGAATATGAAAGTTCTACAATGATTCTCTTTGACTATAGATTTTGGATAAACTGTTTATTTACAAAGAAAAATTGGTGTTGATTCTGTAGACACTCATTGATCTTCTTTTAGTTAAATTTCCTAAAACCTTGTCAAGGGTTGTTGTTATTGTTATTATTATTCATTCTAATCATATCAATTATGATCCGTCAAAAATCCTATCCTCATAAACAAGAAGTGGTAAAGCCAGCTTCAACAAATCCCAACTACTGAACATATGTACAGATTTAAACTGGACGACATTTTCGGCTCTTCCTTAACCATTATCAAGTCGAAAGGGAGAAAGCAAGCATTTCAGTCAGATAGAAGAGGTAAAGAGACAGTCAAGGTCCCAGTCAGGACGAGGGAGGTAAACATACAGTCAAGGTCAGGTCAGGACCGAGGGAGGTAACAGACAGTCAAGGTCAGTCAGGACGAGGAGGTAAACATACAGTCATAGGTCAAGTTACACTTATCTTGAAAATTAGAGCATTTAACAAGGCACTGGGGAATACAAGCATCAAGAGAACAAAGCCGGGGGGCGAAGGGGAAGACTTCCTGTTAGAGATACTGTTAAATGATAACCGCATCTTGAAGGCTTGAAGAAGAGGATAATTATGGAAGATAACTGGCATATGGAATATCCTATATGCAATAACATATAAGCTGTTAGCATCAGCAAACACTTATTTTGTATTCTTAAGCATTATCAAAATGGGAGCGGCCAGTGTCACTAATATATAACAGAGAACAAGAGAAGTAGGAAGTGCATTATTCTGCCTCTGAAGAGGCAATAGTCCGGCGTTCAGCCACCCTAAATTTCCGGTGAGAAAAATTCCCCTTAATGTACCTGTTGCTGTTGTTGCAACACTACATAGCTCCTGATGATGCACGGAGACGTGTGAAAGATCTTAAGGTGAAGATTTCCATCCCACCATGACTTGTCTTGCATTGTTGAGAACACACTTCGGCGATTAAATTGCATATATATATATAAATATATATATATATATATAAATATATAATATATATATATATATATAAATAAATATATATTTATATATAAATATATATATATATATATAATATATATATATATATCGGTGCCGAATAGGCAGAACCTTTCGATCTTGGCTTAAATAGCAACGCTCATCTTGCCATAGGGGACAAGCAAAAATTTTTGTGTATGCAATAATTTTGCCAAAACATTCGAACCTAACGAAAAAAATATATTTCACGATTTTTTAGTAAAAAAATTATTGAAAACAAATCGAAATATATATATTGGGTTAGGCTAAAAAAAAATTGTTTTTTGTTATAAAAAGGGTTTTGGTAAGTTTTCTATGATTCTTTTGGTGCAAAATTAAAAAATTTTACATTAACATAAAGAAAAAAATTATCTTTAAACGTAAAAGGAAAATTTTAGAGAGGACTTAATTTTTAAAAGAGTTTTGCTAATTACCATTTTACATATTCGGGGGCGACATAATTTTAATATATATAAATATATATATATATATATATATATTTATATATATATATATATATTATAATATTTATATATAATATAATATATTCATTAAATCACAGTAAACGGGGATTTCGAATAGCAAAACAACCACGTGAAAGAATAAGAAATTCCAAGCGCTTTTGTGACTACTCACATTATAAGGAAAAAGGTAATGTCCTTGATAATGGAGTAGTCCGAAAACGCTTGGAATTTCTCTATTTTCACGTGGTTTTTTAAAAAATATATATATATATATTTTAAAATTATAAATATTATATATATATTTTTTATTTTAAAAATTTTATGGTATATATAATATATAATATATAAATTTATAATTTTAAATATATATATAATATATATATATTATACTATATATATTATATAGGTATATATATTATATATAAAATTATAAATATATAAATATATATATATATGTATATATAAAATATATATTAATATATATATTATATATAGATATATATATATATATATAATATAATATTATAATATATATAATTTTATATATTATATATATTAAATATATATTTATATATATATATTAATTTAAAAATATAATTTTTAAAAAATTTTTTTATATATTTATAAAATATCGGTGAGGGTGTATCTCCAAGAAAATAACGTTATTACTATTTGTTACATCCACCATTCATTATTCAAATACACATATTTAGCAAAATTATCTTGACAATCAGCGCCTATTTTTTGGGACTAATTTGAGTCGCGTGCCCGCTGCAAATTTCTTAACATCTCCTTAAAAAAAAACCTTTTTTCTTAATGGGGAAAATTTGATTCCCCAACAGCATTAAAAATATAAAGGGGAAATTCCCTAAAAATAATTCAAAAATTTTTGGGTTTTAAAAACAAAT